AACATTTCATGTTACAAAACTAAAAACTGTATTGATTAATGTGTCAATATTCAGAATTTTGTACATTTTTTGATGGTTAACATTGTCTTCATTTTTATCACTGGTCACTGCTAGTTGTAGAACTTTCTCAACCTATTAAGATGGTCTCGTTCGTAATGAATCATTTGTAATATCTAAAAAAGATAACTCCGCGCTTATTCCGAAATATATCGAAGATCTCTAAGGGATTATTAGACAAATAGATACAAATTAGGAGACTGGTTTATCACTGAATAGACGATAAAAAACCGAAATTGTAATAGTTACAAAGAAACATTAAAAAAAAACAATTTAAATGTAGGTATACAAGAAACGAATAGAACAAGTATAAAAATAAAACAATTCAGAAACAAATATAGACAATAAACAACGACAAAATCTTCGACGTCTGTCTACGATAGAGATAGAGAGATACAGAGGCAGAGAGATAGACAACGAAAGAGAGATAGGGAGAAAGAGAGGGGCATAAAGTTTAGTAAGTAAGTTTTTTATGACTGCAATTACATAACTAAATAAAAAAGCGAGTAATTTCATGATAAAACTACAAAAATAAAAATATTTTTCATAAAAAATATTCTCATATTTTTTCTTCTCAGTTTTTCCTCATTTAACAAATAAATCTCACGGTTAAAGATTAAAAATACCAAATGGAAAACGATTATTCAGTATTTAAATATTGTTTTGGGGGATTGTTTTTGGAAACGAGGCCCTTTATTCATAACCCCCCCTCTTTAATTTTTCAGACCAACCGTGAACATTTTCTAAAACAATCTTCTTATCAACTTGTCTTCTCATTGAGTAAACATTCTAATTCATGCCATAATAGTAAAAAATATACGCCTGTAAAGCATTTTTGTAATGTTAAAAATTGAAACTTTTCGAGATGAAAGTCCGAAAATATTTTGTTGAAGCTATTTCTTTCTTGCATTATAATATTCTTATAATACCATTTTTAATGAGAATTAACCACCTTTTCAGTTTAAAATATATATATTTTGATATTTCGATTTCAAAATACAACGGAACTGTGAAGCAACCAAAGGTAACTCCAAGAAGGCTTAGCAACGAAGACGAACAAAGAAACTAATAAGAAGATAATGGTTGTTTATATAAACAGGGATATGATGGGAAAACTATTACGGGAAGTAAACTAATTTAAAAAAAGGAGAGATTGTATGTATTAAAATAAAAAATAGTATTTGGACGAAACTTGGCTAAACGACGCTTAAACATTTCTAGCTAAATTATGCAAGGAAATAAAAAGGCTTTCTGATAAAGAAAAAAAGAGTAATCATTATTATCCATATCGGTAATATAGATGGATTTTTTACTGATAATTTCCTAATATTTTTGAAAAATAGTTCGAGCAAATGATACAGCCAATAGATTCAGTAATTGTTTTGAGAAATGATTCTTACTATTTAAGAAGATCTAAAAAGAGGTGTAGGAAGAAAACAAGTTTCTTCGTTAAAAAACATTCGTGAATGGACTCAGATACCAAATGTAGGATAATTATTCCATATTGCAGAAGATCGAGAAGCCTTTGCAATGGTGATCGCCAAAGTCGAATAATTGTGATATGGCACGCGAAGAAAAAGAAGAAGAATAGAAAAAAGATAGTTTTATTAATAAACAAAAATATTTATTTCCAGTACGCTCTGATCTTTTAATGGTGAGGAATGCCAAAATAGTACCAATTGCAAATTACCATTAATTTTAATTAAGGAAGTACTGTACTCACTGTTTACGGCCGATTAAGCAACTAGACACTTTACACATCAATTCAGCAGTGGCTAAAATTAAATCTAATATGATACCGAATTGGTTTAAAAATAGAAGATACAAAGTACATGACGTCAACCCTTGTAACATTCATAATATGCAAAACCTGTTCATCGGTCTAATTTAAATGATAATCAAGTAATAAAATAAGATAAACTTGCGAAACGATATTCTATCATCGAAAGCAACCGAAAATTAATACATGAAGATAAATTGTATGGCTTTAAGACTATATAAAAATCAATTGATCTTTGGTTTGGTTGATAATACAGCTCGAGTAATAATCCAATTTACAAATTTTACATGGATAATAAATGTTCACTCCGAAATAGCAAAAAAAAGTTCCACAATTAGAGAACATATTACGAAGATAACAAAACAATAAGAAGACAGACTTACTGCATTTTTTATCAAAGTTTGAAAACCGTCATGTAAAACCGCTCTAAATAGCCTTGCGCTGCTGCATCAGAATCATTTCTATACATTCGTTAGATATTTTTCTTCAGGATATTCTTTCCGTTTCTCACATTTCGCTTAGTATGAGTTTAGTACCGCACATAAGGTCCCTTTATTATATGTCTCGATTTATATTATATTCAAGTATTCGTCATTTGATGGTAATATTATTTCTGTTTCATTTATTATCCTCCTTATTACCTCCAGATTTTACAATCTTTCCCTCCACTATATTCGAAGAACTCGTATGTCAGACCAGATTCACAAACAACCACTTAATTTGTATTAATGACCTAAGAGTACGAAGCACCTCCGAGCGAAGCATCTTTAGGCTTATTTCGAAAATATCCAAATATCTTAAGTAAATTAAGTTTGAAATGTTTGCTTTTATCCGCGTTATTGTAGACATCTATCACATAAATTAAAGACCTTGGAACCAGAAGGGGACAAGAGACAATTTCGTCAAAAATCAGTTAAAGTTGAGATCGCACTCTGTGTTTCAAACAGAAGAGTTCAGCTGTTCACTCATAGTAAACTACTTTATACTGAAACAGAAGGAGACAAGCCACAGTAGTATTCAACTTGGCAGTGGAACATTCCCATGTGTGTAAAAGGATAGTCTTTTATCAGGTTGATTCTAAATTGATTTGGAGTTACATCAAAGACGGGCCCAGGCCATGCAGGATCTATTGAAACAGGGCACAGATGCTAAATCTACAGAAAATTCAATGATTATCAGCTTTGACCTACAACAGACTATGCCACTGTCAAATTTAACAGTGGGAGCAGCTTTCTGTTCTGCAATCCATCTCGCAAACCTCGCATTCATGACTGTATTAGTGGAAAAGCACTGCTGATAAACGTATAAAGTATATACAGATTACTGCAGCGGCCAAAACAAAATTGGTCTCTAATTTATTTATGGCAACAATTTAAGGCATGTTTACTTCTACTGAGCACAAATACTTGGTAATAGGACATACCATGTGACCACGATTTCGCTATAATTAAAAAATATAAGCGTCATCGATTAAAACAAGTGTATACTCCAGACAACTGGTACAAATCAGTGAGAAAATCTAAAAGAAAAAACTGTTTTAAGGTGATTGCATTGAAATGATCTGATTTTTTTTATCACGATTTTACTGATTTAAAATGAGCAACAAAGCTAAATTACTAAAAAAAGTACAGATCTTTGCCAAAATACCAAGCCTCAAGCTTTCATCTGAACAACCTATATATATATATATATATATATATATATATATATATATATATATATATATATATATATATATATATATATATATATATATATCAAAAAACATCTTATAAATGGACACTATAAAGCAGTTAATACTGGAAAGAAAGGTTTGAGGAACTTAATTTTAGTTTCCAGAGATTTATAATCAAAATAAAGTAAACCTATCCTTTTAAACAGAAAAAAATTTAAAATATTTCCGAGCTATAACAGTTTATTCCGCCAGCTTTCCTAAAATTGTATAAAGAAATTGGTGCTTGCCAAGAGATTCTACCAGATGCAGGTAATGAACCATGGAAGATATTCAACATTTGAGTGATTTTTCCAGATATTGAAAATATTGACAACTGAATTATTTATGATTGCTTTTTATGTCAATTTTTTAGAATATAATTTTTTTATATAAAAGGGGATAAGCCTAAGGTTTTTCAAAACATTTTCAAAACTCAGAAAAACCGTTTGTGGACCTTCCTTTCGAGAAAAATCTAAAAATTTAATTTTAAGATTTGAAAATAAGTAAAAACGATATACGATAAACGAACATATATATGGAAAAATGACATCGAGAAACAAGGAGGTCCCACATGGCAGAGAACAGCTCAAGATAGGGAAAGATGGAGAGAACTGGGGGAGACCTATATCTAACAATGGAAGGATAGAGAATAGGTTCAAAAAAAAAACGATATTGTTTGGTGGAAGGTCTCCAATTACAATATTAAGAGAATTACCACTTAGGTACTTCAAATTGATCTCAGCACAAGATTCCTAACAGTGTGCATTTAGTTTTGCAAACCATTACTATTATCCATCATTATTGTAAAGGGCTTTGTCTAAGTACAAAGACAATTGTGCTAATAATAAAGTCGTTTAAAGTATAGATACGCAAAAACAATCAGTAAATTTTTAATAAAACATTATTCCGTGAATTTTATCCGCAATATTTACAACTAAACGATATGGGATAGGCATATGAAGATTTAATACACCGATACAAGCCTATATTGAAAAACTTCACAGAATTATTGAAAGTACCAAAAGTTTTTGCTAAATGTCAACACCGAACCGAAGTTTTAAGTCTCTACGTCTTTCTATCGGAGTTATTTATAGCTTTGATGACTTTTGAACCACTGGATCCAACAGTATTCTTTCTTACACTATAGTGTAATAAATATACAGTAATAAGTTTAAAAACTATAAATTATCTTTAAAATGCTGTCGCCGAGATGGCCAGAAAATATACAGACAGACAGACAATAAAGAAGGACCTCACAAGTTCTTAGTAATTACATTATTTAAACAAGAAACTGTCGTCTTAAATTCCCTTTGCTGAATGGACAGACAACAAAAGGACGATTTCCAAAAAGACCGGTCAGTTTCATATTAATTACATTATTTAAACAAGAAACTATTATTTAAAATTCCCTAAATTATTAAACATATTATTATATAATATATTACTTACATAATGCACAATTTTTAAAATTGTCAGAGAAATCACAATTAAACGAATAATATAAGAGGAGCACAAAGTATTTTCAACAACTTCTAAAACGCACAAACTGAACTGAAAATTCGGTAGCTCGAGAAGGTTGATTAAATAGGTACCTGTGATCTTATCTCATCTTAATGTAACTACTAAAACGATAACGCAGAAAGTATGAGTCAGGTAGTAAACAATTTAGTAGAAAACAAAAATTGAAGATAGTAATTGCAACACCTACTATAATGTTAATCCTTTAATTCTGCGTGTTTGTTTGTTTTTAATTGGAATTAGGAATGTAGAGGTTACGTCTATGTAGTGATACAGTAAGTTGAAGTATTCGGGTTATATATTTATATTTTATATGCTAAAACGATGTTAGTAAAACTGCCAATTATATTTGAGTATTATGGCGGTATAAAAAGTTCTCGGACTCACCCGTGATTGTTTTCTTTATTTTGGTATCAGTGTACTAGATGCCATGTAAAATTGCAAATTCCAGAGAGTTTTTTTCTGTAGGCAGTCGCGTAACGAATGTGTTTACTGAAGTTTACAAACGCATTCGATTGACAACGAAAAGTTCTTGGCGCGTCAACGTGACTTTTAGCATCGATACGTTACAATTGAAGAAGAGTATTTAAAACAACAAAGTTGAGACGAAATTCACTATTTAATAATGCAAGAACTTCTGGAGGTAACCATCATATTAAACAACAGAACAGCGACACGAGCAGACCAAAGAAAGATGGAACTCATAGAATATGGAGTTTTTTGATACACTTAACTCTCTAACTGGCAAGATTCTAAAAATTATTCTATTTAGTTGGAAATTTTTTTCATATTAAATAATGTATTAAGAAACCTAGAAAAGCTATTAACACGTAATTATCAATTTTTGTTTGACTTCCAGGTAAAAATAGGTAAAGCGGTCCTAAGGGGACCCTTGCCGGCTTAAATAAAAAATAGCGTTTTATTTATTTGAATGGATTTTATTAAAATAAACTTAAAAACAAACGGAAAAGAATGTGTGTAAAATTTTTTATTGTAATAATTATAAAAACAGTTTTTCGCATTAGAACAACATAAATTAATATTACATTTGCTACACACACACATTGAGTTTTCGACACTTTGCAAAATTTACATTTTTTTTAAACTTTCTTTGTTAAGTCAAAGTGGAAAGTGATCAATACCGTCGAAGGAATATCATTAACGGGATGTCTTGCTTTTTTCCAATGCCAGAAGTAGTTTGTTGCGGTGAGCTCGATTGTGATTTTGATGTTGAAGGTCGGCCAAGTACACGTTTTTCACTGAATACAACGAAAGCAGCAGCAATTTGTTCTCTGAATTATGATAGCTGCAACAACTTTTCTACCATTGCACTACGTATATTCGCTCCAATATGGTAGCGACCCATCAATCCAGCCATCAGATCGACTCCTCCCAAATGTTTGAGGTATTCGCGAATGATCTGTGGACAGAAGACTTCGATGTATTTCTTTCTTTCGATCATATCGGGGTACTTTTGCAATATTTGGATTTGCTCTTAAAAACGGCTCAATGCCAATGTAAGTTGATGCCAGCCACACGTTCTTAATATTGTACCGTTTTTAAATAAACCGAGTGGTTCGAATTTATATAAATATATTTATTTATAACTTTACAGTTCGGTACTCTGTTATCAACTAAACTTAATTCCTAACATCGTTACATATATATATATATATATATATATATATATATATATATATATATATATATATATATATATATATATATATATATATATACCAAAGTTACTATGTTCTAGAAAGTTCCCACCTCTAATTCTAATTCAGTCAAATACGTGACGGATTGTTCTCTTGCGGTCGAGAGATCTATCAATGGTTCTCGATGCCAGAGATGCTTCGAGATGCAACCGTTAGGCGGACCACGCTGAATGCATGTTCATAACACTGCTCCCCTCTTAGATCTGAGCGTCCCGATCAGCAACTCTATATGTAGGCCCAGGATGACGGAATCTACAGGACTCTCCAACGCTGCATAAACCCCTCAGAAAGAAATAACAGTCTACTGATATTGAAGTACACGATCTCTTGCGGAGGAGCACCGTCCTAATGAAAAATCAAATAATCTTTATTATATTATTAAAAATTTTGAATATTATCAGTCAAGGCAGAATTAATCACGTCTTCCATTAACTGTAAATATATTCGCCAGCCAAATTGCTAGGTAACAAATGAGCCCACCCGTTGATCACCGAAAATACCAACCCATACATTTAATTTTCAAGAAATGAAAAATAACAAGTCATCTGATCATGGAGGAATACCCGTGGAACTTTTAAAATATGCACCTAATGTAGTAATATAATTAATAGAGTAATGTTTAACAAATATCTAGAGGAAGAAGAGATACTATCTAAATGGAAAATGGTCCTACTTTAGACTATATATAAAAAGAAATTAAGAAAGACTACAGCAGTTATAGAGTTCTCAGTGTAATAGCTTCCATAGGTGGATGGTATGGCAGGGTTATTGAAAATCAGTTTGTTGGGAGGAGCAAAGCGGCTTTAGACTAGGCAAATCATGCGTCGATAATTTGTTTTGTCTGAAAACAATTAATCTGGTTTTTGTAGACCTAAAGAACGCATATGACAATACACCAATGAAGACACTACGATACAGCTTACAAGAGTTAAATTATCTTCTTATTTGATCATTTATTATATTATTAAGAACATTAAATGGTTAGTAGACCTGCCTCTTCGAAAACCGTGTTTTGTTTTTCCCCTATCAGGGGTATTTTTAATCTATTATTAATATTTTTAGAGTAAATTTTATAGATTGCATTCAATACACTACACATCAATACGAACTTTTAAAAATCTTCTAAGAAGTTCGTTGTAAATAATAATAAAATATTTAATTTTATTTGAAGTAAATATGGTCGCGAAAACATTTTAGAAATTTAAAGAGGCGCTATGATTAGAACGCTAAAAACTTCTAGTAAAGCTTAAATTTATAGTATGACATCATAGTACCTGGCAAGGAATCGTAAACTCATTCCTATATATGTATAATCAGATAATCTTGCTCTAAGTAGCGAAATTATTCTATTTGGTTTAATAAACAGTTTATATTTGTTTTGATTAATTAATTGTAATCTTAATAAACAACAACATTAGAGATCACACTTTTTATTGTTCTGTTATGCCTTATATTATTTGACTTCTGGTTTCACCTAACTCATAAACACAAACAGCTTATCTTGTATAGAAACTGATCGGTGGGCGCCGGAGATAATTTAGAAATTAGCATTGAATCAAAGCGGTTCGACAGGTCAAGTACATTGACTTACATACATACTCAAAATTTGAAAACGAATATATAATTGGCCAATAGTATGGTGTAGGTATATTAATAAATGCAAATATTAACATTGCGGATTTGCATCGATGAAGCCTAAACAAAAGATAACTCTATTATTTTCCTAAATATATAGTTCACAAAGTAAAACTGACGCATTTTTAACAAAAAATAAATCCGTATGCTTGTATTTTTTTTCTGTTTTGTGTGGTATATCTGAATTTATTATTGGTCGTTGAATATTGCCGTAACAGTGATCTCGCGATATTTTACATATAGTATTCTATATATAGTATTCGTATTTTTATTTTAGTTAAATTTTAAATTAAAGAAAGTCATTTTCTGTAAATTATTAGAACTATTTTGCTATTACGATTTAGTTATATTATTCAATATCGAGTTTATCTCTATACGTGACCCAATATGATGATTTTCTAATTTATTAAATATTAATAGCTATAAAGTGATTATTTTACTCCTTATTTGGATATAATAAAGATCTTAATAAGATGCTATTTGCGGTCCCTTTTTAATACACCGTAATTCTCAGAGTGTTGGCTAGACTATAAGCTTTTTGTAGTTTTTTTTGTTGATATCAATTCTTTCAGATGGTCAGGGTAACATACACTAGGGTGCAAAAATAACCGGACACTCAGATTTTTTCTAAAAACTGGCGTTTAAGAAAGTTTAAGATTTTCCCAATTCAGTATTTAATAATAAACAAACTTTAAAAGGCAAATTTATTACAATTCAAACATGTAACACACAAAACACAATAAACAATTCAAAAAATTTGAAAATATGCAAAGAAACAAATTTTTTTTAATAAAAACATTTTTATGGAAAACCTTATTAAGTAGAGTGTATTACCTCCACGTGCCCTAATTATGACTATCATTTGATCAGGAATACTTCGGATTAACGAAGCAAAGTCTGCTTAAGGGATTTGTTCCCATTCGTCACGAACTGTTTGCTCCAAATCATTCATGGTTTCAAACTCACCATGGTTACGTTGAATACGTCGTTCCAGAATATCTCATGTACACTCTTGGTGACCAATAAACAAATGTCAACTTCATCCAAGTAATCCCGCGTTATTCGTGAGATGTGCGGACGAGCATTATCTTCCATCAGACGAAAGTTTTCTCCAACAAATAAGGCAAATGGGACTACAGAATCTTCCAAACATTGCTGAATATACCGTTGAGTATTCAAATTGCCCCCTTGAATTGTAACAAGTTCTGTATGAGCCTCTAGGCAAATTCCTGCGTTCACTTGCTAGCTATCGTTCACTCGCTCTTCTCCATATGATAGATCGCCCAACTGATGAGTATCTGTTAAATCTTGATTCATAGATTCATGGATTCATGAATTCTGTGCATAGCACTCCAATCGTCAACACCCCAATTAAGATGTTCGCGAGCGAAGTGTAAACAATGCCTCCGATGATCTGCTGTTAATTGAGATCTCGTCACAGGTATTCTGGACCTTAATCCATATTCATTTAGTTTTGATCTAAACACCAACAAAAAACAAACAAATCTGAGTGTCCGGTTAATTTTGCACCCCAGTGTATAAACAAAGGTAATATAGCAATGTCGGTCAGATAGCTTAGCGGGCTGTGCGGCTGCCTCTCATTCGCTTCACTGTCGAATGGTTCAGTGGATGTGGAATCGAGCCCCAGCTCGGTGTACAGGAAACAAAAAGTCTAACGCAGC